ATTGCTGTGTGCCCGTGCCCGTGCCTGACTCCGCATTCGCCCTTGCCCTGTGGTGGAAAGCTTCCGCTCGCCTTTGGCCGCAATCTGGGCGCAGATTATAGCGATGCTCTCCTGTCAGCCAACAGCCTCAACTTCATGGTCGAGTCGTGAGGAAAGCTGTCAAGCACAGCCACCGTTCCTCGCGCTTCATACACCCGCTCCTCCTCATTTCTCGTTCGCCAAGTACCCCATCCTAACCTCATAAATCTTGTGCAACACCAGACGGCTCCAGCCCACACCTACCGAAGCCCCATCCCCCTGCGAGACACTGCCTGGTCGAGAACCCAATACGGCGCCAAGTTGGGCACCATCTCCGACGCCGAATCTGAACCCAGAAACACTCTATGAGCCTCTCGCAGTGGCCATCGCTCTCCCATCTTCCCCCTCACAACTGCAAGTAATATGTCGAAGCTTATGCGGAACGGAGTGCCTCGGAAGGATAACGGAGACATCGATTGGTGAGTTCTACGCGAATCGAGCTACGTGTTGATGCTGCATCTTGGGCTCCGTCGTCTTGTGGAGGAGCGAGCGTCCATCGTGGTCACACGATTTTGTCGAACGGGAATGCCTTAGGGAGGTGCTTGTACTACAGCAGCTCGTGTAAGAGGGCTGGGCGGGACGGCGCTGCGATGGCGGACGAGCTACGTGCAGGGTGGCACGCGTGTAAGAGCGAAAAGGAACGTGCGTCCACCTCGCACTACCATTTATGCTCATATACGCAGTCAGCGGGCCGGATGCGCCCACCATGGCACGTCCAAAGGCTTTGAACGCAAGCTAGGCTTTGATGCAGAATGTCAAGCGTCAAGCGTCGATTGTCAATCTCGTTGCGAAGCTGCTATCCAATGCACATTGGTGCAGAATCGTCGAGATTCATGCCATTTGACATGAGGTGCCATGGCGCCGCGCTGGGGCGTCAGTGGCGCTGCGGGTGCGACGTGGAATCGTCCGCTTGTCGCTCGCGCCTCTCCCATATAGTGGAGGAGAAAGTGCGCAGGCGTAGGGATATTCATCTCATATCGGCAACAGCTCTTATGGCGATGCTCGCGAGGCTCCCTTTGTGCTCTTGCTCCCTTTGCTCTTTTCAAACCCTGCTGACCTGTAATCCCATTCACGTCTGCGCATCATGCGCTGGGATCCAAACAAATTCGTCGAATCTCACAGGACACCAAGGCGACACCATGGATGGACTGGGTTTATCATGGTTCTTGGTTTCCTTTTCCC